ACATGAATAGCGAATATAGTTAGAAAATTAAGAAATGAGGAGATGGATAGACAAGACAGATAGACCAAATGAAGATAAGTAAGGTGGTTAAGAGATGAAAGTGTCAAATCAATTAAGGGGAACCATAATTCAAGCCCAAAACTACAATGCAAGAGGCTTTATTTATGAGCTCATGAAATCAAATCATAAAGAACTTAAAATTCTAACAATTCTAATCGACATAACAAATGAAATCCTAATCTTAGTTAAACAATAAACATGAAATAAAGAACTTATAAATGAAACAGAACTCCAAATTATATACTAATATCCTTCATTTTACCTGATAAATTTCACCTTATACTTGCTGATGAAATCATCACACCATTTACCTTCTTGGAAAACATCAGGGGTGCAACGACAGCTCCAAAGCCCACCGCGAATCCAATCTCCCTCGTTATAAACAGCCAATCAATTTCACTGTTTGGTGAAGCTGGTGGTGGAGGTGGTAAGATGCTGGAATTTGTTGTGTAATTATTTGTCAAAGGAGGGCCATATAATGCTTCATTACCTGCAAAAGAAGATGCTGAAAATGTTTGGAGCTGAGTACCTGACGGGATCCTTCCCGCAAAGTGATTGTTTGAGAGATTCAGGACTGAAAAGAAACTAAGGCTTGCAAGCTGTATAGGGATCACCCCATTCAGCTGGTTAGCTGATAGGTCCAAGGACTCCAGTTGTAGTAAGTTCCCTATGGATGATGGGATTGGGCTTGTGAGAGCATTATGTGACAAGTTGAGAAGATGGAGGGTTCCATTAGTCCTATCTCTTCCGGTATTGGCCTTCAAAATTGTTGTCTGACAAGTCATGGGGTGAATAATGTTAATATCTTCACTAGCTCCAGCTCCAGACCTTTGCTGGTACTGTTATGAATCTTGGTAGTACAATTGGCCGAATTCAACAACTGAAATTGAAGGTGTTGAACTGTACTGTGTGTGTTGTTTCTAGAGCTGGAGTATACTAAGAAAAGAGGACCAAAAACTGACGTGAGAGAGAGCTGTAGAGAGAGAAAATCTGAACTGAAATTTACTCTGTTTTTCATTCAAAAAGCAGGGGTAGATTTTACAAAGCACACGCCACTGTTCCACCTAAAGCTGCAAATTTAAAATTTAAACTAAACACACCAACTAATGCACGTACAAACATATCAAAATACATCATTTTATCAACCTAATTCACCTAAACACATCACTGAATATTTCTTAAACTGACCAAAAACAACTTCTGCATGCACAGCACATTTCAACCGTGGCGCCAAAATCTTGCAACTCCCACCATGTGTTGACTTCATCATTTCCAGCATGGTATCACCATTCAACACTCCTCCTTGATATCATGCTGGAAACCCAGTTTGAGCTTTAAATCTTCAAACTTGGCTTTGGACAAAGCTTGGGTTATTATATCAGCAATTGTTCTTCTCTATAAAGAGAACTCCTCCTTCATTGCAGCTTCTCCACGCATCAGATTTGACTGCCTCATTGTAGCTGGTTGGTTCTAACTCAACCCACATGCCCTCTCATAAATTTCAGATATTGGCTTTGTACCTCTGACTGGAACTTCATCAACTTCTCTGAATTCACTTCTTCAATCTGACTTTTGGGCATTCTATCTTGTTGGAGCTTGGCCTGACTTTAATCTGATTTTTTTTACAGTTCCAAACAGCACATTCGTCCACCTTAACATCTCTATTACTATGTTAGCTGAATGGTTTTGAAAAACACATTTCCCCACTCTACCGGGAAGTTTTTTCTTTGCATCTTAACTCTCATTAACTCATTCCCATCACATTCCATAATGCCAACTGCTGAGTTTTTAAAATGAAAGAGTAATTCCTCTCAAGCATTTGTCCTACACTAAGTAGGCTTTGATTGATTTAGGAACAAATAAAACATCAGATATAATCTTGGTACCTGACTTGGTTGGACAAAAACATTTCCCTTGCCTTTGACCTCCAGCAGCTCTCCATTTCCCACTTTACTTTAGACTTGTAGATTTGATCTAAGCTCACGAAATGGACATGTTTGGTGACATATGGTTGGTGCAACCACTGTCAATAACCACACCTCTTGATCAAAATCACCACACATCCTGAAGCCATAAACAACTGCTCAAGTTCTTGAGTCTGCTGTTATTCTCCACTGCCTGGGATTGATGCTCCTGCTGCCCTCCTTTGTTCTTGCACACCCTTTCTACATGTCCAACTGCTTACAAGACCTACATTGTATGCCAGGCCTAACCAACATCTATTTTCAGAGTGGTTCTTTTTCTTGCAGTGAGGACAATAGGAAAGGTTCTCGCCGCATTTTTTTCTCCTTCGTTGTTAACTTCCTCTTTTCCCTTCTCTCTAGCGTACCTTCTGTTTTGCTTGCTATCATGGCTCCTTCACTTGTGTCTTCTTGCCTCACAACCTCCTCTGCTCTTGTGCTTGAGAGCATGCACAGTTCTGCTAAGCTGATCTGAGACAGGTCTTTGGAGTCTTCAAGTGAGAGATTTTTGCCTCAAATCTCCAGGTAAACTGACCAAAACCTTCTCTACTACCTCTTGTCAGTCAACTCTTCACCAAGTAGCTTAATCTTGTTCACCCACATCATCAGCCTATCCACATACTCCTCACAGACTCAGCCTCTTGCATCTTAAGCATCTCAAATTCTCTTCTCAGGTTTAGAATTTGCATGTTGCGTGTCATATTGCTGCCCCCAAACTCCTCCTTAAGCTTATCCCAAGCCTCTTTAGGAGTTTCACACGCCATAATCCTGGTGAAGACTTGGTCTGTCACTGCTGAGTGTATGTAAAGAGGGCCCTTGGTGCTTTAGACATCTCCTCTTCATGAATCCTGATTTGGTTCGTGTGGGGTTTGCTCCCAACTGAGAACTTCTTCTCCTCCTCCACGTATTGCCACAACCCATGGCCTCTTAAATAAGTCTTCATCTTGCAGCCCATACTGAACTGATCTCCATTGAAGATGGGTGGAGAAAGTGAAGCTGGAGTTGCTGCCATGAAGATGATTACGTATGTGTTGAGTTTTGTTAAGAGGTTTTTGTTTTTCCAGGTCCTGAAAGATCACACAGCTCTGATACCAACTGTTGGTTTTTAGAGCGGGAGTATACTAGAAAAAGAGGACCAGAAACTGACGTGAGAGAGAGCTGTAGAGAGAGAAAATCTGAACTGAAATTTACTCTGTTTTTCATTCAAAAAACAGGGTAGATTATACAAAGCACACGCCACGTTCCACCTAAAGCTGCAAATTAAATTTAAACTAAAACCACCAACTATGCACGTACAAACATATCAAAATACATCATTTTATCAACCTAATTCACCTAAACACTCACTGAAATATTTCTTAAACGTGACCAAAAACACTTCTGCATGCACAGCAGCATTTCAAACCGTGGCGCCAAAATCTTGCAACTCCCACCATGTGTTGACTTCATCTTTCCAGCATGGTATCACCTTCAACACTGTGCTTCATCTTCATCAGCCATCATGCTTTCCAGGTTGTTAAGTACTTTCCTGGTATTGTTCCATTAAAGTTGTTGATAGCTAAGTCGACAATCTGAAGCTTTGGCCAGGCACCATTAATCTCTTACAACTGATGTTCCCATAAAACCTATTTGATCGCAGGACTAGAACCGCAAGCTGGAAATATTCTTTAACCAGCATGGGAATGTATCATTTATTTGGTTGCTACCAAGGTCTAGAACCTCCAGCATTGTGCAATTAGCCAGAGATTTTGGAACCATTCCTCTAGATGATTTCTACTGAGATCTACTGTTTTAATGCACAAGTTTCTGGAAATGTATCAAAAATAATTCCATGAGGTTGTTTCTTCTCAAATTGAACACCAGTTCTCGCTGCTTTGAGTTAAACATTTTGGTATATTGCCATTGAAACTTTTGTTTGAGAGATCAAGAACTTGAAGAATGTGGCATTGCATATTGATTCAGGGATAGGTCCTGAATCGTATTGTCTGAAAGGGAAAAGAACAAGGTGAAGTGAGGGAATTACCAATTTCTGTGGGGATGGAAGAAAAGGAATTTTTCGAGTAATCCACATAGATAACATCTGGGGAGGAAGTGGTATCTTTCCTTGTAGCAGGTTGGAGTGCGGTCAATAAAAGTGAGATCGGGAATAACATAAGGTTCTTGCAGACCCACCAGGAAATTATGCGAAAGATTTAGACTGTTGAGATCTCCATTAACAACTTCCAAATCCAATTAGGTATTTCCCCAGAAATTTGGTTGTCGGAAAGATCTAACTCAAATAGACTTGATTGGTTTCTTTAGATTAGGAATTACATTCAGGTTGCAGGAGGCCAATCTCAACGTGGTAATCTGGGGAAGAAAGAACCATTACTACTGGCATTCACTGTCAAACTGTGTATGAAAAGTCAAGCCTTGTAGATTGGGAGCTTTGAATTTTATCCAGCAGTACAGTTCCAGTGAAGTTGTTGGAAGAAAGCAAGAGGATATTAGTTTTTTTAGCTCAAAGATTGACATGGGAATAGGCCCTTCTAGTCTGTGTGCACTCAAATCTAGGGTATCCAACTGAGAGGAGGAGCATCTAAAAATTCAGGAACTTGGCCCCTGAATCGGTTGTTGGCAAGCAGAAGCTTCTGCAATGATGGGATTGCAAACAGAGACGAGGGAATACTACCATTAAGGGAGTTGAACCTCAAGTCAAAATAAGAAAGATTCTGAAGCTGTTCCCAACTGGATGGATCGCATCAGTCAACAGATTATTAGAGAGATCAGGTAAGTGAGATTTTTGGACAGTGAAGATGGGATCGGACCACTGAAATTGTTAGATGACAGGTCCAAATAAACTATTTGGTGAGAGTGGCCATTGCAGTGGGAATTTGTCCTGTAAAATTGCAATCTGATAGCCCTATTCTTGACAAATTTTTGAGGTTGCCTACGAATCTGGTAGTGTCCCTGAGAAACTTGTGGAACAAGCATCGTGTCCTAAGAGACAGATTCTGAGGAAACTGTGGCAAGAACCTTGAGTAATTCGTTGTTTGATAAATCAAGATTCTGTAGTGTTGGTACCTGGAAGATATTTTCTGGAAATGTTCCAAGTAGCCCACAGTAACTGAGCCGCAGGGAGGTCAAATTCATGAATTCTGCTAAAAACCCGGGAACTGTAGAAAACAGATTATTCTGATCCAAACGGACTACTGAAAGTGAACCAAGTTCTGCAAGTGAAGTGCTGATAGGGCCTCAAAGAAAACAGTTGGACAAACTCAGGACTTGTAGATTAGGCAGTGAAGACGATAAAGCTTTGCACCATTCATTTCCATGAGCTGATATATTTACACCATCCAGATACAGTTCTCTAATCTCTGTGAAGTTCTGTAGAAACGTGCTTAAGTTTGGATTCTCGAGTTTCAAGACAGAAGATCCCAAGAAGTTAAGACTTGACAAATCAAGTGTAACCAACTTTGTCATGCCTGAAATCGAGCTGGGAATCTGCCCTGTGAAGCCAGCCTCAGAAAGATTCAGATAAGTCAAGTTTTTGAGATTGGCCAATCTGGACGGAATTTGAGTTGCATTGAATCTATTATAAGCCAAATTTAGGCTATTCAGATTCTGAAGAGCGAATAGACCAGTCGCATTCTCAATTCCACCAGAGATTGATTCATTGCTCAAGTTGAGACTAATAACATGTCCAGCCTCATCACAATCCACACCACTCCAAACACAACAATCTGTGTTTTGATCCCACTGCGCCAGATTTACAGATGAATTAGAACTGAACACGAGGCTGTTCTTCATTTGGAGTAACTGCAATTGTTCATCGCTCTGACATTGGCTAGAAACAAAAAGCTTAGAGGTGTTAAGGAAATTTGCTGAAAGGGGTATCAAAAAAAGCCATGTTAATAACAGATTTCTCATTGCGAACAGATTATATGAGCAAAATATTTGTACAAATGAAACTTGAAGATGTGATAAACTAGTTGTGACTTTATACAGGAGGGTCGAGGCTGTTGAACAGGACCTTTTAGCTTAAAGTCCAGCTCATGACCAATAAGAAATGGCTCATGTTTTGTGGGAAATGGCGACCGATGAACCAAGCGTATAGATTGGGAGGCAGAAGAAGTAAGCAGAAGGAGCAGAGGAATATAAGAGAAATGAATGGTCAGCATATAGCCGCAGTCGAATTAATTGTGTTCACCTATATTTCAAGGCTTTTTTCACAAACTATCCTCAAGCTTGTGTGTAAAAAGCCTTATAGCAGAACTAGTAGCTCGTGATTTAATTTCTTGTTAACTAAGAAAAAATATCTGGATCCTTCAAGATCTTTGGGAGAGCGACAGAATAAAATTGTTAGTCTACTAGGAAATAATTACAACTGGCAGGACTGAGGTTTTTCTGTATCAGTGTTTAATGATGATTAAAAGCCTAATGTCGATACAGCTCAAAGTTTAATATATGTCCAAGTTTGAATTCTAAGACTAAAAGACACCAAAGAGGTTTCAACTTTACCTTTTTTATATTTTTTTTCCCTCTCTTTTATGAATTATCTTTTATATCATCATCCATCAAGAATCTTACGTTATCTATTAGACAACTTAATGTAAAAACTTAAGCAGTGAAGTTAAAGATTCAGTAATATATAACCATAATCAATGTGGTAATTTCTAAATCCTTAAATATGTTAGTCCTTTAAACATTTGTTGGCTGATAATAGCAGTTACAAGGAAATATGAACAAAGAAATTTCGAGCAACAAGGTTTGGTTTGATGGCCACAATGTAGGAGACCATTCCGTAGACCTTGACTATATGCAATGACGGAAGTTTTATAAGCAGCATGTGGGCACTTATTTTGCTTTTCCATTCCGCATTACTTTAGGCATTTCTGTCATAATCACTTTGGTAGCATTAATTCTCTATGCCGATTTCCATTGCCTCAGCTACCTCGAAATGTCCTAAGCTCTCTTCTTTCATTATTCTCCCTTCCTTTAGCTGAACAAGGATTTTGAAGGGATTTTGATCGATGAGGATGTAAAAGTCTTGGTTCCACCTGTTCCAAAGTCAAGAAGTATGAATCATGATTACTGTCTTCATACGTTGGTTGTGGAAAATTATTATAAGAGATATGTAAGTGGCTGAGATTCTCGGAAGTAATGGAATTAGACCAGTATAATAAATATTTGATGGTAAGCCTACCTATACAGGTCGTATAAGATTGTCCGATAAGTGAAGTGTGAAACGTAGAAAAACGAGGGAGCAATGAATTGGCTCGCCATCACTTAAATACGTACTCTCCCTTAAGAGAGAGAATAAAGTTTTCCAAGCATATTCACTGAAATATATTTTTGCAATTTTCCAAAATTTTCCTCCATATTCTCAGCATGAGTAAATGATATACGCTAATGCTAAAATGAGTAAACACAACCCGCATGCTAGCTTCTTTCTTAAAATCATTAACCCTTTGAACTTTAGGCTTTAAGGTTTTATATTGCCATGATTGTTATAAGAACTAGGGATTTGGTATATAATCCGCATTGTTGAAAATTTCTCTGTTTCAAGTCAACCGAATCCAACTTTACTAATAGTCTCTGAATTGCAACGCAAAACTTAAGGGTTTTCGACATAATAAAAGCAGTGATACTTTCATTTCAGTTTTTCTATATTAGCAATTACAGCTGATGAACTTTAAATTTGCAGTTCTGTGATTAGCCATTAATCTCATATGAAGAGGAAAATTTTCTTTGTATAACGTTAGCATTTCAGTTATTTGCCCTTGCGCATACGCTTTACATATTACATTTTACTTGAAATAGACCGTTCTTTAATGTAAATGTCCATATTTTTAATATTATTCGGAACACATTTGCTGGTTAAGGAAAAAGTTCATTATCATTGGTAAACACTAAATAAAAAAATTCCAAACAAATTTCTAACTGGCAAGAGATTAGAAGGGCATATTTCGGGCATCCTTCATTTGGAGTAGCAACGATTGCTGATCTCTTTGACAATGACCAGAAACCAGAATCGTATAGATGATGTTGATGCAGTGATGCTTTGCTGGAAATGCATCAAATGCTCAAGTCTGCAGGATTATGTTTTTGGAAAATGCAGAATGTTTCATGCAGCAATGGCTTATCATGCATGGGAGAGTTTTTGTGTAATTGGTTATCTTGTTGTTTAAAGGGTATTTAAGTAAGTTCATTAGAAGTAAGTTTACTGTAATGTTGTATTGAAATTTGAATTTGAAAGCTGTAACTTCTGCTGTAGTTGGTGTAATTAGCAGAGAGTGGATATGAGTTATATATGGTCTTTTTTAATAAAAGGTTCAGAACCTTTTTGTAAACATTTGGGGTGCTCTGTTTCTCTCTCTCTCTCTCTCTCTTAATGTTCTTCGGCTGAAACCAACAAATGGTATCAGAGCTGCCACAAAAACCAGAAACTTAGCATTGTAAACCTTCGATCACACCTCCAATACACTCTTCATCTCAAAACGATAGACCTGCAGTTGTTTTTCTTTCTTCTTGCGACAGACACGAAAAACAAGGGCATGGCAACGCAATCTGCATTGATGGCTCCACCAGTATTCAATGGAGAACATTACCACATCTGGACAGTAAAGATCAAAGCCTTTCTTCGTGGACAGGGATTGTGGCAATATGTGGAAGAAAACTGGCAGCCACATCCTCTTGGACAGAATCCCACATTGAACCAAATGAGGCTGCATGAGGAAGAAACAACCGAAACTTCGAGAGCTCCTTCTCACATACATGCTGCTCTGACTGATCTTGTTTTTACAAGAATCATGGCATACGAAAACCCCAAAGAAGCATGGGATAAATTAAGAGAGGAGTACATGGGGAGCACTACAACGAGGAATATGCAAGTTCTTAATCTAAGGAGGGAATTTGAGATGCAAAGAATGCAGGAAACTGAAAAAGTAAAGGATTATGTTGATAGACTAATGAATGTTGTCAACAAAATCAGGCTTATAGGAGTGGAGTTGACAGATCGTAGGGTTGTGAAAAAGGTTTTGGTGAGTCTTCCGGAGAGATTTGAGTCCAAAATCTCTTCTTTAGAGGACTCTAAAGACATGAATCAGATTACATTGACTGAGCTTGTCCATACTCTCCAAGCTCAAGAGCAAAGAAGGCTCTTGTGGCAAGAAGATACTAGTGAGGGTGCATTGGTTGCAAGCTTCAAAGGCAAACCTACACAGACACAAACAAGAAAGTATGCTGGAGATAGAAAAGGGAAAGAGAGGAGTAATAAACAGTGGGAGAGACCTGGTGGAGCGAAAGAATTTCCAGCCTGCACCCACTATAAAAAGAAGGGGCATCTGGAGAGAAGATGCTGGTTCAGGCCTGGTATACAGTGCAGCAGTTGTAAGCAATTCGGGCATATTGAAAGGGTGTGTAAGAGCAAAGTAAACCAGCCAATACAACAAGCAAAAGTTAGGGAAGATCAGCAACAATGTCAAGAAGTTGAACAACTCTTTGTGGCCACCTGTTATACTGCACAAACCAGCAATGATGCTTGGTTAATTGATAGTGGTTCCACTAATCACATGAGTGCAGAGCTGCAAAACTTTGTTAGCTTGGACAAATTATATAGCTCCAGAGTCAAGATTAGGAATGGTGAATTCATGGAGGTCAAAGGCATAGGGGAGGTTGCTGTCCGAACTTGGTCAGGTACAAAAATAATCTCTCATGTGTTGTATGTTCCTAGAATTAGCCAAAATCTATTGAGTGTGTGGCAAATGTTAGAGAGAGGTTATTCCTTACACTTTGAGAACCAAGCATGTACCATACTAGATCCTAAAGGAGTCGAATTGATGAGGGTAAAGATGCTAGGGAAAAGCTTCCCGGTTGAGTGGAAAACCACCAATGATTCTGCCCTGTTAACTAGATTGGAGGAGTCAAAAACTTGGTACAAACGGCTTGGACATTACCACTACAATGGCCTCAAGGAGTTGAAGAATGCAAACATGGTGAGTGACCTGCCAGATATTGAGGAGAAAAACACATTGTACAGTGCATGCCAAATTGGAAAATTGAGCAGACTTGCGTTTCCTACGGATCAGACCTGGAGAGCAACAATGAAGCTTCAACTGATTCATTCAGAGGTCCCATGCAAACAGAATCCTTAAGTGGAAGCAGGTATTTCATACTCTTTATAGATGATTGTACATGGATGACATGGGTGTATTTCCTACAGTAGAAAAGTGAGGTTCCTGCAGTGTTTAGAAAATTCAGACTGTTAGTAGAAAATGAAGCTGGAACAAAGATCAAATCATTTAGAAGTGACAACGGACAAGTACACTTCAAGGGAATTCAGTTCTCTCTATTTAGAAGCTGGTATTAGGCATCAATTCACTACTCCATACACTCCACAGCAAAATGGAGTAAGTGAAAGAAGAAATAGAACCATCATGGAGATGGCTAGATGCATGTTGGCAGAAAAACAACTCCCTAAAAAATTCTAGGCTGAAGCAGTAAATATGGGAGTTTATCTCCTGAATAGGCTGCCAACCAAAGCAGTCAAGGGACAAACACCAGCTGAGGCATGGACAGGAACTAAACCTGCAATTGGCTATTTGAGAGTGTTTGGAAGTGTGTGCTATGTGATGGTTCCAGCAGTGAAAAGGACCAAGCTAGATAACAAAGCTGAAGTTGGTATTTTAATTGATTATAGCAACCAATCAAAAGGATTCAGAGTGTACATTCCGGAGACAAAAAGAGTTGTGATAACTAGGGATGTGAGAATTGATAAGAATGCGGTTTGGTGTTTGAAGAGTAAGAAGATTGTTGTTGACGGTAACACACAACAACAAATTGGAGCTGTTCTAGATGAACTTGAAACTGAAGAAGATGAAGTATCAACAGATGAAGAACCTGCAGTTCATGGAACCAGGACCTTGGCTGATGTTTATGCAAGGTGCAATGTGGCTGTGTTAGAACCTAAAACGTATGCTGAAGCTGCTGGATCATATGCTTGGAAGAATGCTATGCAGAAGGAGATTTCCATGATTGAGAAGAACAACACATGGAGGTTAGTTGAAAGACCTGAAAACAGAAGAATTATTAAGGTAAAATGGATTTATAAATTAAATCTCAATCCGAATGGTACAATCCATAAACACAAGGCTAGGCTCGTGGCAAAAGGATTTGCACA